TATTATTATTGTTGAATGAATAGTTTACTCCATACATACAGTTAGCTAACTTTAACTGACTTTACAGCTTGCTTTGCCTGAGTGACTAAGCAACATTTTACGTGCTGTGAATATCATTCTGATTTTACCGTATAACGAGAAAGGCAAAGCTCATATAGCTGATTATTAATTAGTACAAGCTGTAAAATTTCAATAAGAAAAATTTAGTTAAAATGGGTTCTTAGTAATCCGGTGTTCCTTTGACCATTACCAACATTGTTAAAGATTTATTTGCTAATGTTCTTGCAGACGTTACTATTAAAATAGTTAATAGATCTCGTCAAGGAGATAATTTCACATGAACAGCATACTGATTCTCTCTCAAACTTAACAACTTTAGAGTAGACGCCAATTATTTCTCTTTCGATGATGGTTTCTTCATATTGAACCTGAAGGACACCGATGGGCAACCTACGTCCACAATCCTTGCTGAAACTGTCATGGAAAATGTGGTTCAGGATAAGAACCCAGACCTGTTTCCAAGAGTTTGCAAAAGATGTTGGTATTTTCCCACCTGCCTCAGTGGAGATGAAAATAGGATGAGACCTCAGAGATCTTTTCCCTCAAAATATCGAGTTAACCATTGAAAAAGAAAATAGCCTTAGTCTACTCTTTCTTGATCTCAGTTATTAACTCTGAAAATTGTTATAAAAATAACCATTGTTGTTTCCTAGCATGTTCCTTTTAACAGGGGTCCACTAATCGAGATTCCTGTACATTTTTGTATTTGGTTAAATATTCGGTTACTCTTCGCAGTTTCGACATTAACAAAGACAAAAAGACTCTGACTAAAGAGCACTACCAAATGTTGTCGGAACCCCTACCTGTTTTTAGGTATGAGTTCTGTAATTAGTGAATTGTTTTTGAAACTGAAGATTTAATTTTTATAAAAGTATACAACATTCAGCACGTAATAAGGTAGTAGTGATTGGTTTTTAATTCTTTCTTTTAATCTTTTTATATTTTGTATTTTCAAAAATCTGGTATCAGCCAAAATTAGAATACTTTTTAAATTTCAAGTCTTAACCTTTTTGTGTAATTCATGCTTTTATTTAAACACATACGTCTTAACTTCTATATTCTCAGCTTTTATCTTGTCGATCATACACTCGAAAAGACGCATGTTATTTCGTCACTGGCCTGATTTATAGCCTGTGTATAAAAATATGGTTAACTGGTATTAAGAAACAGTAAATCATAACATCCTTAACTCCAAGACAGAACTTTCTTGATAAATACTTACATGAGCAATCCGACCTCTTCAAGCATTATTCACTGAACATGACACATGTAGCATCACGACATTGAGGCTTTCTGGGCGTTAAGTTCTGTTACGCAGTTTATTGGTGACAGTCTTATTTGTGGCAGTCTGACATCCCGTCGCATCTTATTGCCTATCATTTTTTTTGTTAATTACTAATGCTTTTCTTTAACAACTAACGTGATTAATTTTTACATCCCGGGCTATGGACTAACTCTGCGGTTTATTTTACTATTTGATTACGTCGTATCTGATTCATGTTAAAGGTTTTATCAGCTTGGTGTGGAGGGGGCTTGGCTATTGGAAACGTGCCTTTTAATATTGCGTATTTAAAAGTGAATTTTCGGCAGTGACTAGCACATACTTAGCATGTAGCACATTCTCGTCGTTCGTTTGTTAAGAAATATTTAAAATAAGGTACGTTTCAATAAAACACGTTACTTCATATACTAACATAGTACCATTACAAGCAGTTGTCTCGAAATGTCACAGAAAGTTGTTTTTCGAAAGGCAACTATTTACTCCCCCTTAGTCTACGTACGTCGATTTTTCATACACACCTTATTCCTATTAGAGCCGATTTTGCGACAGTCGTATTATCAAACTCCATGTAATAAACTGTAATATGGAGCACTTTCCGTAGTATAGTGTGTGCCTTTTGCAGATAGAGCCCACCGGATACTGAAAAAGTAGATATTCTCAGTTCTGCGCATTACACTTCCAAACTGCCAATACCATCTTTTATTACTACAGCACGAAATGTAGGCTTTCGACGATTTATTTATCCATTATTAACATACGTGACTGTTTTTGTTTCCCTTAGCTATTAACGAACTGTTGGACATGGCGTCATATCAGTGTATACGTTGCCTTTATCCTGTTTTGTTGTGTAGTACGCAAAGGTGTTGTTGTCGTTAAGGACTTGGTGCCAAGACGAACGTTGCAGGCCAGTCTGCAGCGCAGCCTCGCCGCGTTGGCGGTACAGGATTAGTGTTTCGGGCGATGTATGACTACAAAGCCGCTGATTCAGATGAGGTAATGTCATCTGCTTGCAGTATCAGTTGTGCACCCAGAGGATGCCTCACTAGGTACTTTCGTCTTTTGTGTAGGTGACGTTTAAAGAAGGCGACGTCATCGTTAACTGTCAGTATATCGACCACGGCTGGATGACCGGCACCGTTCAACGAACCGGCAAGTGGGGCATGTTACCGGCGAACTATGTGGAAAAGGTTCACTGAACAAATTGATGTTATTGCCGTTCAGAGTTGTTAACGATATTTCGTGATTTTACCGCTTTCATTATTATTATTAGAGATGAATTTTACCTTATTTATTTTTAAGCAGAAGTTTTTGGAGCGAAATAATTTCATGCTTACGAAAAGAAAGCATAATACATTGCCTTTGATGTAGTTGTGGACTGATGTTAGAACAGCAGCCGCTAGCGTATTTCAGTTTTAGACCATTTGCAGCTGTTTTTTATTTGTTACTGTATATTTTAATTTGTTTTACCTCTGAATCATTTATTTTTAATAAGAAAGATTTATCTGTGATTCATAATAAAACGTCTAATTGTCGTTTTCGGCCTTTCGAAACGACTAACCAACATTTTATCAAAACCGACTGCACTCTTTTTCTGACCATAATGCGTCCTCGAGTATGTCCCGTTTGCCGTACCATTTGCGCATCAGTATGCTTGATACGTAGCGACTGTCCAGCTGTTTTGGATCCTCAGACAACGGCATTGACCTCGGCCTGTTGTGAAACATCGTCTCCTTGCCAATGGTGCACTGACCGTTGGGCAGTAGCATCACATGTGGGACATCATCCGCTGATGGTTCTCCGTTGACGAAGTTTATCGCCTTTACTTCTATAAGATGTTTGACCTTCCACAATATGCCATTCCAATAGGGCGTATTTTTGAACACTTTCATCTCCAGAGGCTGAAAATCTTAGGATTAAAGAATCAGCAAATATTGCACGAATACATGTAAAAATTTCACTGTAACCTCAGGATACAGCGAGAAACTAGCTAACTTATTTAGAAACAAATTTAAGGATACAGTTAAAATCGCAAACTTATATAACAACATATTCAGTGTGTATTAGCCAAATGCCAGTTTTCAATTCATTCAGTAAAAATTACGGCCAGTTTACACAGATCAGGTCTCAAACCCTGGTTAGGGTCACTAACACTTCTTCCATCTGAGGCTGAGAAACGAGTACCATTTTGTGGAAAGGAAACAGGAGACTAACACTACACCTGATACATGGCTGTAGACTGTCGCTTAAAAAATAAGGTACTCCTGGCTGATAGCATAGAACCGGAAATGAACACCGCAGCATCAACTTCATAAAAATAAGGGCGCCAACTAGACCAGTCATTAAAGTGAAGGAAAACTCACATTTAAACGTTGACAAACAACTGGATTTAAACCATGTAGTCGCAGTACCGATTTACCTATCATGCAAATAAACTTGCAACATAATGATCCAAGCAAATAAAATCATCTAGCTACCTAGGATCATGATCATTTTAGGCAAGCCGCAGTTCATAATAGTTCAAGAATGCTAAACTGAACTGCATCATGGCAGACTTGTTGACTAAAAGAAGCACGACCTTTGCCGCAGCATTGAAAGTAGCTTAATATGAATCTTAGGTACATTTCTAAAGGTTAGACATCCTAAATCTTGGTTAGTCTGCTGCTAAAGCTCTGTTAGACCTTGATGACGACAAAAACAGTAATCGTGTCGCTGTGCTCATCGAAACCAAGTAAAATGCCATTATTCAAAGGCCGGATTCACGGCATGGATGCTCCGTGAAGAAATGTACAGTTGCCTATGTTCGTAGTAGTCGTACGGGACTACTGTGACCATTAAGTAGGTGGACCAATT